GTGGGCTTTTCTTTCCATCTGAATCATTCAATATGCTTTTGGAGCACAATGGAGCTGTGATTTTTTTCAAAGCCGCCAGCCTGCAGGAAACAGAAGGTCTCTGAATAAAAGGGAGGCTCTTGTTACAACTTCCCTCTTATTTACTGTTCCCAGTAGCAGAGAAGTAAAAAGACAATGAATGAAATGGAGGATTAATCATGCGTAGCACTGAAATATAAACAAGGAGACTACACATCCCAGAGCACTGCTCCAAGCCATGGCTCGTGCCTGCAGCGTGCAAAAATCTTGCAGCACCATGACCACCTGGACTTAACGAAAAAGGGCAAAAGGCAGAGGAGGCTCCACAGGTGGTTTTTCAAAGGTAAACTTGCAAACTGGGAATTTTACATGGACTTTTCTCTGTTCAGTGCTCTCAAAAGTTGAATTCAAGTTGATATCCCCTGTGCTTAATCACTGGTCCATGACTTTTGCAGAGGAAACTCCCTATTTTCCCATTTTTTCACACTAATTTTAAAACAATAAAAGTTCAGGACAACTCCTTTGTCCCACAGAAGACTTTAAAACATGCTTCAGAGAGAACCTACTGTGCTGCACGTTGTGTAGCTTTGCTCCTAAAAAGGGTTGTGGTCATTAGGCTTGCTCCCTTTTCTACTTGCTTTTGGGTCGGTATCCAAATACCAAAAGATTACTAATCATGTACCTTATTTATTTTTTTAAATCAGGGTATTGATTAATACAGCAAAACCTGTATTTGATTTTCAGCTGTAGAATTTGAGCATTCACCCCAGTCTTTGCAAAGGTGTTGAGCACCTCAAATTAATTGGTAATAAATTAACCTTGGAAGGTTGTTTGTGTGAGGCAGATTACATGCATACATCTTTGTGAAGGACTTCAGTGAAGCAAAACACAGGAAAGAAATGTGGAAACAGGGATGTGTAACACAATTCAAATGGCCTGAAATCTCTGTAATGAATAGTTGATTTGTGTATCCGAATATCTGCATCTGTCAGGTAAGCTGATTTTTCTGGCCTTGGAATGATGCATTTAATGTGAGGGTTGAAGTGAAGTGGAGACCATAATTGTACAACTGATAGGGAAGCTGCTCCTTATCCTTATTCAAAAACTCTAACAAAGCTCTAAACTGTTCTTTTTACAGTTCTCTTTAAAAAGTATACATGAAAAAGTGAAAATTTATTTAAGCCACCTGCAATAATAAAATTGAAGTGACCCAAGTCTGAAAATACCACAATACATCTCTAAGTGAATATAAAAAGCCAGAACATGTGATATAATTAAGCTAATAACCAAACCCAACCAATGTGTGTTAATACAAGACTTGGAGGATTATGTGAGTACAAGTCTAGGAAACCAAAGCAGCAGTGCTGCTTAACTAATCTCTGCTAATAACTCCGCTACCCAGCCTTGGCGGCCTGGGGCAGGCAGCGGGCAGGGGGCAGGCAGCGGGCAGGGAGCAGGCAGCAGGCAGGCAGGAGCACTGCCAAAGGCTCCTGGCCTTGCTGTCTCCCTGCTTGCCTGAAGGCTTTACAGCTTGCACTGAGGGATTTGTTTCACTTTCTCTTTCTGCTGTGCAGGGCTGCACTGGACGGGTTGCAACATCCTCCATCAATTACTTACCCTGTTTGCATGGAAATCAAAATATATATTCTTTTTAATAATAAAATTAAATTTTTTTAATACTACCTTTAAAGCCATGCTGATGCTGCATTAAATTAGTCAGTGATACCCTTTTAAATGCCCTTTCTAAATACTTTCTAAGAGGGGAATTGCATTAACCTCTAAGCTGCAACTCCCCTGTTTACACACAGCAAAGGTGCTGCCAGCCTGAGCCTGCCAGGTCCATCCTGGCCAAAACAAGAAGAGTTACCCCTGCAGGTCCCACCAACCCAATCCCCTGGCACTTGCAGCCTCCAGGTGATTCATCTCCAGACGTTTGATTTGCTAGTGGTTCCATGGTGAGGAAGAGAAGGTGGGGAAGAGCTGCCTGGAGTCTCTCATCATGGTATGAGTGCTTCCCAGACAGGTCCTTCATTGCTTGCCTTTGATTTTATTCATTTTAGGGTAATTAATAATAGAGAGCTCCTGAGCAAACCAAATTTGGACAGTCTTTGGAGATCCAGATAACAAATTCTGGGAAGAGTCTGTTTTTAATCCTTCTACCCACTACAGCAGATGTTGGAGGATCTCAAGTCAGGATGTGGGTTTGCCGTGTGACCTGTTGAGGCCCCTGTGGTTGTGGCATCCCCTGAGCTGGAGAGACTGATTCTGTCCCAGCATTTTCCCATGAGGATGTGCACACTGACAGCCTTGGGAGATCACGGAATCTGTGTGGCACTGGCTGACTCAACCACACACTGCCAATGCAGCCAACAGTAAACGTGGTTAAAAGAATCATTTTCCAAAAAGCTGCAGTTCCTCAGGGCAGTGAAATACTGAGGTTGACTCAATAGTTCATCCCTATAAAAAAACCCTCCACTCCATCAAGAAGACTTACATTCTACGCAGATGATTTTCATCACGTGCCGGTGAGTTGCTGTGAGGGAGGGAGGAGCTGTGATGACGATGGAGCCGACTGCACTGGTGCAGCCTCACCTTGAATATTGTGTGCAGTTTTGGGCACCACAATATAAGAAAGATATGGAGCTCATAGAGAGCATCCAAAGAAGGACAACAAAGATGGTGAACAGCCTTGAGGGGAAGCTGTATGAGGATTGGCTGAGGTCACTTGACCTGTTCAGCCTGGAGAAGAGGAGACTGAGGGGACACCTCATCTCAGTCTACAACTTCCTCATGAGGGAAAGAGGAGGGGCAGGCACTGATCTCTTCTCTGTGGTGACCGGTGACAGAACCCACAGGAATGGCCTGAAGTTGTGTCAGGAGAGGTTTAGATTGGATATTAGAAAAAGATTCTTCCCTCAGAGGGTGGTTGAGCACTGGAACAGGCTCCCCAGGGAAGTGGTCACAGCACCAAACCTGACAGAGTTCAAGAAGTGTTTGGACAATACTCTCGGGCACATGGTGTGACTCTTGGGGATCGTCCTTTGCAGGGCCAGGAGTTGGACTCAATGTTCCTGGTAGGTCCCTTCCAGCTCAACATGTTCTGTGATTCTGTGACTCAAAGCAGGTACTCTGAGACCAGGAACTGCAAAATGTTACCTATACCAGCGGCACTTCTGGGGGTGCTGGTCAGAGTGGGGCGTAAGTAAGACTGTGCTTTCATATTTTGTTGTTGTAACTGAGCTACCAGATTTAATGTATTCCATTTCCCGGGGTTGATGGAAAATGCAGGGATGCTTGTGGTGCTGGCTATTCAGAGAATTGCAAAGAGATAATGGTACAAGATGACCTGACTCCTGGACTTTCCCCCACTGCATCCCTGCTAGCCCAACGGGTCCATCATCCACATGGCCCCATTGTCCCCCCCATCCCCATGAGTGGCAGGTGTTGAGTGGGGCTCTTGGGGCTCCTTTTGGAAACCCAGGACGCACCACCTACCCGCCCACTGCTCATCCTGGTATTGAGATTCCATGGCAGTCTTGTCACATTCCACTGCTAGGAAATCCTGCTCCGACCCATGGTTTTGAACCTCCTGGACAGATATCCCATTGCTCTTATAGGCATTTTCCCTGAGGCCTTGAATTCAGGAGAATAAGATGTTAAATGAGCTCTGAATATGAACTGAAATACTTCCATAAAATCATCAGATCATAGAATCACTTAGGTTGGAAAGGACCTTTAAGACCATTGAGTCCAACTGTTAACCCAGAACTGCCAAAAAGTGCCACAACACACATCTTTAAATACCTCCAAGGTTGGCAACTCCACCACTTCCCTGGGAAGCCTGTTCCAATGCTTGACAAAATGCTAATAAGGTGTGCTGGATTTTTTTTCCCCTTTCCCCCCTAACTTTCTAGTTTCAGTTTCTGCTAGCAGAACCTTGACAAATCTTCATGATGAGAAGATTCCCAAAGTTCATAGAGCTTTGCTTGCTTTTGGACTTGGTCATGACTACTCCAGCAAGTCACCTGGAATTTTATATAATTGCCATTATATGATAGATTGAAAAACATATATATTGTTATAAAGTTTGAGGGTCTGTCCTTGCCAGGGTCCTCACAGGCTTTAGTCTCCTTGCCAAGGCTTCTGGGTGCAGGACCTCTGGCAGGGAGCCTTAAACCTCAACCCTCAAAATTAAGGGGAATTTCTAAAAAGGAAGGTGTGTGTTCAGTGTATCACCCAGCCAGGGCAAGGAGGAGCACAGGCAGAAGGGTGCAGGGTGCTGCCTGCTGTCCCAGACCCCTGCGCCTCTCTCCTCCTGTGTCCCATGGGATGCCGCGGGTAATAGGAGCAGCACGAGGTGGTGACAAGCTGCCGGCGTTCCGGGTGTTTGATCCGAGGAACTCACCAGTGAGACAGGAAATGTCAAGATTACATCACATGAATAATTTTTTTAAAGCCCTGAAAAAGACCTTGTTAAAGTCCGTGTCTCTGCAGTGTGATCCCAGCTCCTTTTGGTTTTGCTTTGCATTTCCACTCCATAGGAACAGGCAGGCATATCCTCCCCCCAGATATCGCTTTTTAAAATCCTTTCCTTTGATTTTACAGTGCTTTTGTTCACCATGGCCTTGGCACTCACTGGGGCTGGTGGAGCAAGTGCCCACTTTGCGGGGCCCCCCAAAGGATAGATGTGTGGGATGCCCACTGGGCCGTGTGGAGCAGGCTATCGCTCCAGCATCTGAAGCCAAGCGCAGGCCTTGGGCCTTTGGGGATGCTGGCTGCAGCCCAGCTTATCTGCACTGGGAAGGATGGAGAAGATGTGGGAGTGGAGCTGCCAGCCCCTTCCCCATGTGTTTGCTTATGTTCTGGGTGGGCACCCTGGGCAGCCCAACTGTGCTGCAGGGAGACACCATAACTTCATAGAGCAAAACTGCACCTCGTTATTCCACTGATTTTGCAAAACTATTAAGGAGCATCCAACAGAGTATGTGACCCACACATGTTTAATTTCTTTTATGGTTTCTGTTATGATATATGCTGGACATGTTTTTATAAAATGAAGATTTATTGGAACCTGGAATTTTATGGCTTTAAGGTTCAATTGAGTCCAGATTGTGAGTTTCTCCTTTTGGAAGAGGAGAAGAAGGTTTAAAAGAGCCCATCTGCCTGTGGCACTTATGAGACTCTAGGCCAAGGATGACACCTTTTCCCTTAACTTCTACTATAATGTCAAAGCAAAAATTTACCATCAAATGTTATGTCTTCCATGTGTGATGCTGTAGATATAGATCGTGAAAATTCTGTTGGGTTTCTTTCTTCTAAGTTATTATCTGTGCCATAAGAAAGTCAGGACTCGGTGTAGGATCCAAGGATGAGTGGCGAGACAGCACAAACCCAAACCGTGCATAATTATTGACAATGTGCCTTCACTTCAAAATGTGCTCTTGCGCTCTTGGTTTTTCTCGTAAAAGCACAGCGATGCCTTTGCTGCCTGCAATGCTGAGGAAAGCAGAATGTTTTTAAAACATTGTAAGAGTGTAAGAGTAACTATTAAACACATTCCATGTATTCATGTAAAATTAAGCACAAACCAAAGCATTTTCTTGGATGGTAAACGTAGCTTAGTAAAGAATAACATCAGTTCAGAAGAACACTCAGACGTTTGCTCTGGGATCTGCCCAGGGAGGTGGTAGATGCCCCATCCCTGGAGACATTCAAAGCCCCTGCTCATTGCTGGGGGTTTGGACTAGATGGCCTTTAGAGGTCCCTTCCAACCCAAACCATTCTGTGATTCTAGGAAGTAGCTCTGTTGACTTCTGTAAAGGTATTTTGCCTTTGTGCCTGCCAGGCACGAGCAGGGCTGGGGGTCCTTGTGCTGTGGGGTTTCAGTAAGAGAAGGTCTTATGACTGCCTGCTCAGGAGCCTGGGGGAGCCAAAGTGTTCATCATCCACATGCAACATGGCAAGAAAATAAGGAAACGCTGTATTTCTGCTTTTCTGCCAGTGTCAAACAGCCCCAAGTGCTCTGGTAGGAAGCGAACAGCATCCAAGGAAGCAGAGCCTGAGTCCAGCTCTCCGGTTACCACGACATAAGTAAACAAACAAGTTTATCACAAGTAATGAGGGCATTGTGCCAGCTTCAGTTAAAATAATGAAATGAAAAAAAAAAAATCAAACCCAAACCAACAAATCATTACAGCATGAGGAAAGTCCTGAATGAAATTGATTGTTCATGCCAACTCCAGAAATATATCTTGTCGTAAACTAGGGCCTCCACATCTGCTTCAGCACCAGCAGATTCTTTATAAACAGCCTCTTTAATTTTATCTAACAGCCTGTTCACAGACATGCAGTCCAAAAATACATCTCCTTTTCCTCCTCACACTATCCTGAGCTTGGCAGGGCACCAAACATGAGGTTCAGCTCCTAGTTCAAAAAAGCCCTTCTTTAAGCATCGACTGAACTTGATTTAATAAAAACTCTGTCCAGCTTCCTCCGGGCAGCCCTAATGGGATGCAGAGCCCTGCACTTTTCAGGGGCTGTTCCAAACCTGCTCCGTGTTGGGCAGTAAGATTTTTTTTTATGGTGAAACAAAATTACTTTGCACTGGAGTTGGGGAACAGGCTAGTGTTCTCCAGAGTGTCTCCTCCGAGCAGTACAGAGCTTTGCTTTCAGATATGCCACCCTCTGAAAATGAGAGTGAGCAGGCAGCACAAGCCAAGCAGAAGCCACACAATGGGATGTCCTGGTGCCACGGATACTCCAAGGGATGCTCCAGTGCCTCTGGTATCCAGCCCCCTCCTCCTGCTGGCCCTGCCTTCCCTAGAGGAAGGAGAGAAAATCATCAAAGCCCCTAATTTGGCTTCCAATCCCCAAGTTCCCCTGAGAGGGGAGATGAATCCATCATGCCCCCAGTGTGGCACCGCACTGCCAAGTGCTTATAGGTGCTTTTGAAGGAAAGACAGGGTATTCACTGACGGAGAGGGGGTGTTATACTGGGGCTTGTTCCCAGAGGTTAGCCCCGACACCTGTAGCAGGACAACCACCTCTGCACCTCCTGATGCTGATGTTCCCAAGCACAGCACCGATTTTCTGTCTGCTGATTGCCTGGGAAAACTGGAAGGGGCATTGGCTGCCTTTTAATGTCAGGACAAGAGTGGCTGATGTCACCTTAGAAGATGAAATACCTCCCTGCTTAATTGCAGACCCAAATTTCTCGAGGAAACTCGCACAACACCGCATTCACCACAATGCAGGATTTAGTGCTCATTAGCTCAGTAGTTGAAAATGTTTCATAATTATCCTGTTCGACAATCCAAGGCATGGATTTTGAGCCTCAAAGTTTGCAGCGATAAAGAAATATTAATGGCCTGGCACATCATGATGTTCAGGGGAAAAGGATGTTTAATAGTTTCTCCTTATGGTTCAGTTGTTTATTTAAATTACTTGGAAACTAAACCAGCAGCAAACATAACCACTGCTGTTGGGCGGCACAGTTAACAGTAAGTCGAATTTATTTAGCAAAAGATTAAATGGAGTAAAATAAAGGAGGGGGTAATTTCTTGAGTGTTCAGTGAGGCAGATCCCATTGCCAAGACATGGAGGAGGATCAACAGAAATCCCCCAGAGCCCATCCAGTCACTTGGTCATTCTGACAGAGGCAAACGAGCAGCACAGATGTCAATGAAAGGAAACTACTGCTTTTGGCAAAGGATGCTGCAGGTCTGTAGTGATAGACGGACTCTCAGTTGGTCTGGGGGATGCTGGTGGCACCCTGGTGTTTTTTATCACCTCCTGGAGGGATTTTCTGAATGATCTTTGTGGTTGTGCCAGGGAGGCTTGAGAGCCTTGTGCTGCTTGGCTGTCAGTTCCCAGCAGCGCTTGTCCTCTGCAACAGGAGGAAAAAGTGGGGTTTGCTGTGGGGGCTTGTGATCCCTCCAGTCAGGAACCACAAATTGTACTTTACAAAGCACTGCATTTGTCCTATGATACCTTACTGATCTGAACATGGTCGATGCCAGCCAGCTGAATTTCAGCTGAATATTTAGGAGAAACAAATCAAAGACAGTTAAATGAATCGGAGAAGTGGGTTTAGCTGCCCAGCTGTGAGCTGCAGTACACTGATCCTTCCTCTAACATACTACACCAGAAATGTATTTCAGTTCCAAATTATTAAAAATCTCTCCATTTTGTAAATCACATTTCAGAAGCTATTTTAGTTGTACAAGCATCCACTTGTTAGTAGTATCAAAGTGCTAGTGATACCTGTGCACGCTCTGCAGGATTTCCTTTCATAACTACATTTCACATCTCCCTAGCACGGGTTCAGATAACCTCAGCTGAGATGTACATGTAGATCTCCCTAGCATTTCTTTTTTTGGCCTGTCTCATGACTAGAGGGGTCAAATGGAAAAGCCACTTCTGAGTTAAGAGGCCCAGAGGGATATGGTGGGCAAGGGAGCAGGATGTAGGCATGCACAGGCACATCTACTCAGGTGGTGGTTCTACCATCTTTGGAGAGGGATGGGGTTTTCCAGAGCCTCATCCAGCCAACGCTGGGAACTCTCCAAAGTCCTTTCAGCCTTGCTTACTCCCACAGGAGCTTGCAGGCAGTGATACTCTGGCTCTGCGCATTCTGTACAGAGTGCCTCTTGAAATCCTCTCAGGTAGAGATGCTAAAAGCCTTCTCCCAGTGAAGGCCGGAGGATCCAGCTCACTTGGGCTTAGCTGATACTGCACTAGGAAGAAGAATAAGAAGGAGGCTTGAAAAGGTCACACTGAAGCTGCAATTTCCAAACCAGTGTGAAGGAACTGGATGCCTTAACACTCTCCAGATTAAACACTTGTTCTTGCCTGTTAATGGAATGTGCTGTAAAACAGCATCTTCTTTACCTATTCAAGGACAATTAGAGGGAGGGACCCGCTAATACTCAGGAAAAAACTCTTTGTCTGCAGAGGCTGCTTTTCCCCACAGGTTGTTGGCAGAAAATAGTGGCTTGTGAACAACCTGAGTCAATGGGGCTGCAACAACAGCAAAAGTGGAGGAAAGAAAACACAACCTCACAGGAAACTTAAACAGTAAACAGAAATAACAGGCCTGAGGCACCCATAGGTTTCCTGGATTCATTTCCCTCCTTTTCCAGCATTTTGCTGAGCACTATAGCACTATTCAAGCCATTATTACATTAGGAAGTTTTTTGGCTTTTCTGCCTGCAAAAATACTCATCACTTTTAAATTGAAGGCATCACTGTCTTATCTGGTCTGCAGCCAGAGGGACTGGAAGCAATAGAAGTGTGAACTTTCTCCTTCATCTCAGAGAACATTAACTTCAAAGCCCAGCCATAAACTTTCAGATGTAATGACTATTTGTCCAAAAGAGAAACACATCAGCTTGATCAATGACTGAAAGGTATAAAACACAGAGGTTACATTTGCTAAACACTTGGGAAAAATACATGGTTGTAGTGGGGTGTGTGGAGGTGGAAAGTTACTACTGAATTATTTGCGCAGGCGGGACCAAGGGCCAGCGTCAAGGTTGTCATGGGTGGTTGTAGGTTCAGCACTGAGTGGTTTCTGTCCCAGAGGAGGATGGGTTACCATGTCAGAGTGTGCTCCAGTGTGCCCTTGGATGCAGACCTTCATCATCAAGTGGGGACCTTGTGGCTGTGCTGGCAGCCACACTACTGTGATGCTATTCCAGAAAACTGTGGGAGAAAACATTTCCTCTTGCAGCTGCTCAGACAAAGCATTCAGGACCACCAGCACTTTCTCTTGTGTCTTTGCTTCATCTGTGTGAACACTGACTAGAGAAAAACCTGCTCTGGGTGCAGCTGCCTTTTCCCTTGAGCTCCAGGGCACAGGGTCCAGGTAGTCAGTGTGCTAACAGAGCTGGTAAGGCATGCTCAGAGATTTCAGGCATCTTTGGTAAGATTCCCCACATCCTTCCTATTTTTTTTAACATGCTTTCCATTTTTCTGATGAAAATTCCATGGAAAAAGAGCGTAAGGATGTCTTTTTGTTTCCATGTCTTGAGTATGAGGAATCTAGATGGACGAGAATTATATAATGTGACTTTTTTCCCCAGTATAAGCATTGCCTTTCCTGATAACATCCCTTCTCCCCTCAGCCATTAAGGCTTGTGGGAGGAGCTCAGACCTCATCCTCTCCCTAGGTGGTGGGTGCACAATCCTTGTATGCAGCACACAGTGCTTGGGGTGAGCACTTTGTAGGATTAATCAACTATTTGGTGAAAGTGTTTTCAAAAGAAGTAATTGGGATGACTTGCTGCTAGGCACCAGCTTCTGCTTGCTGAGGCTCCAGGGCTGGGGAATGCGATCCAGACCTGTGTGATTCCTGTCTGAGGATGGAGAGGAGGAAGTGCCAGAGTACGAACAGAGATTTTGAAAGGTTCGTAACATCTTCTGCCAACATGTTTTTTGAATCAGCCTTGCGTGAACAAGTGAGAGCCCGGAAGAGCCGTGTCATCCTTGAAGGACAG